ACCCACCCACGAACCCAACCTTGGTGTGTCCAATTTCTCTGACCCAACACACGACCCGACCCACCATACCCTACATGGGTCGTGTCGTGTGTCATGAAACCCCATCTAACCCTAGCCCAGCTCACACAACCCGCACGGTGGACACCTCTATCCGTCATACAATACAAAGCCTATTTGGTTTTTTGCACGAGAATTAAGGAAATTATAGATTTCTTAAAACTAATGATTGAGAGTACATACATGCATGTGGGGTTTAAGAGAGATAGAGAGAAAACAAAAGTAATTAGGAATCACTACAAGAAATAGGCCAGATTCCGACGGAAACGTTCCAACGGACTTAAATTCCGTCGGAAATTTCGAAATTTCCGACGGAATTTGGGTCTGTCAGAAAATTCCGTCGAAAAAGGTAAATTATGACGGAAAATCCCTCGAAAATATTCCGACGGATTTTTTTTCCCTCATAATTTACAGCTTTCGACGGAATATTCGGTCGGAAGCTGTAAATTCCGAGGGAAAAAATCCGTCGGAACAAATAAAACAAAATAAAAAAATTGAAAAACACCTAACCCTAAAAAAACCGGAAAACCCCCTCCCCTTCATTTCTCTTCTCTCTCTCTCCGTCTCTCTTCTCTTTCTCTCTCCTCTCCTCACCTCTTTCCTCTTATCTTTTTCTCTGAACTCCTCCCTCCTTCGCCATTCTCACTTCTCCTCTCTTCACCTTCTCCTTCTCACACCACCGCCGCTGAACAAAACCCACCGCCGCCGCGCAAAACCACCACCGCCATTCTCGTCATTTCTCTTCTCCTTATCCTTTCTTCCTTCTCGACGGCGTCCATGGTTATTCAGGTCAAATTCGACCATGAAACCTCTAGATCTAGAGGTTTCATAATCGAATTTGGCCGTATGAAACCAAATTCAATGAGAAATTAACATCCAATTTCGGTGTTAAGGTATGTTTTCTTGATTTTAATTTTCTTTCTCTTTTTTTTTTTTTTGCTTTTTTATGTTAATTTTTGGGATGTAATTGTGGTTTTCGTAGTAGTGGTGGTTGTGATTGTTTTTTTTTTATTTTTTTGTTTATTTTCGGCAGTAGTGATGGTTGTGGTTTGGGGGTGTTTGGGTGGTAGATCTTGATTTAGGTTGGTTAGGGTTAAGTGGGGGGGTTAAGGTGGTGGGTCTGGTTCGGTTAGGCTGGGTGGTTGGGTGGTCCGGTTAGGGTGGGGATACTGGGTTGTGGTGGTGGGTTAAGGTGGGGGTACCGGGTGGGTACGATTTTAGGTGGGTTGGTGGTGGGTGGAGATGGGGTTAGTTGTGGTGGTCTAGTGGGTTAGGGTTTGGATGGGGTGGTCTGGGTGGGTTGGAGGTGGCTAGGGCTGGTGGTGGGTTCAGGTAAGGTGGGTGGGTGGGTTCAGGCTAGGGGTGGTGGTGGGGGTGTGGGTGGGGCTGTTTTTTTTTTTATTTATTTTTATTAACATTTCCGACGGAAATTTCCTTCGGGAGAAAGTAGATTCCGACGGATTCTCGATTAAAGTCAAAAACAGCGCCTATAGAAATAAATCCGTCAGAAACTAGCCTTCCGACGGAAATTTCGTCAGAAAAGGTCGAATTTCCGACAAAGGGTTTTGCGACAGACTGATTCCGACGGAATTCCGTCGGAAGACCAATTTCCAACGGAATTTCCGATGTTTTCGACGGATTTTTTCCGTCAGAATCAAGCTGTTTTCTTGTAGTGAATTATTAAAAAGAGGGAAAGAGAAAGTGTTGGGATTTAATGTCAAAAGACATCATTAGTATAAAAAGAAAAAGAAAAAATAGGAAATTTTGTCAACAACTACCAATTTAAATCTCTGTTTTGAAAACAACTACCTTTAAAAAAAAATTAAAACAATTACCACAAACTTATAAAAAGTTAGAGTAGCACTACCACTCTTAAATTTCCGGCAAGAATCCCCGGTGAATGGGTCCCACTTTCTCCCTTTCCCTCCAATTTGACCATCCGAAATTACCTAATTACCCCTTACCCAACTACCTTCCCTTCTCTTCATTGAATTCCCGCCTAACTCCCCTATACTCTCCCTCATCTCCATTTTCAACAACCTCTGAAATTCACAGAGAATATTCTCATCACCTCACACTTTATTCTAGCTTAGGTCATTAAATTTGCCCCATTGTATGTGTGACAGAGGGAGTACTATGTTTAAATAGAAATAGCTTTGTATTTTGGTCTACCCAAAAAAATATACAGACTTTGTATGTGTGACGGAGGGAGTACTATGCATAATCGCATAGAACCATAGATGGTAATAGGACTTGTAGCTATGTGTTTGCTAACGTAAAAATTAGAAAGTTAAATCTTTTTTAGAAGAAAAATGATCGTATTATGTTATTTAGTTCCCGACGTGCTCCAGAATCATGATCTGGGTTTCGACCTACCGATCGTGACTTTTGGTTACCCCGTTCATCGAGTATGGCTAGCTTGTTTTTTGGTGAGGTATTGCCCTGCTGTCGCATTCTTCCTTTGCGCAATGTATGCATTACCTAGAGAATTTTTATATTGGAATTTACTTTAGACATTTGCGGTGAATAAGCATTTCAATGTGAAAGTTAAATACTCATAAATACGAGTCATACCATAGCCCAAACAGTGTGACAAAATGGTTCAATCCAATAGAAAAGTTTATTAAGCCAAATAATCCAGTATAGTTATCTTTGGGCCTCATATATATCACTGGATTATTATGAGTTATGACTCATAATTCATAAACATAATGGATAAGAACTACAAAGTACAATAATTAAAAAATTCTCATCTTGTATTTGTTGTAATTATGTACTCTGTAGTTTATTGTGTTTAGGTGTCAATTTAAAGATATCACTCCACCACCATGACATATTGACATTCATCCATTATCCAACAGTAAAATACACCACAAAATTTATACAAAGACCACAATTACATAGATATTTTGCATCTACTACCTCTATTAATTTTTAGCTGTAACAAAGAGATAAATAATTTGCATCTACTACATCTATTAATTTTAGCTGTAACAAAGGGCTATTATTTATGTCTACACGACTACATTGTACACGAAGGTTAGAGAAGACTTCCTAATTCTCTAACCTTCATCTATCTTTCCTTTTCATATAAGTGGGTATACATGTGTTTAAATATTAGAATGGGTTTTTGGGTATTGGTAATTAGTGGTGGTCCTAGAGCATAAATATTACGAGTACCATAGTTTCATGCATTAGAAGTGCATAAAATTGTTCTTGAATTTATCTAATAGCTGCCATTTTTGCCAACTCCTGTAATGCTTCTTATGCTAGCATTGTTTGACAACACTATTATTCATTTAAGTTAGAGAAGACTTCCTAGTTCTATCTCTAACCAGACTAACCTTCATGTATCTTTCATTTTTATATAAGTAGGTGTACATACATGTGTTTACATATTAGAATGGGTTTTTGAGTATTGGTGATTAGTGATTAGTGGTGGTCCTAGACCATAAATATTACGAGTACCATAGTTTCATACATGAGAAGTGCATAAAACTATTCTCGAATTTATCTAATTGCTGCCATTTTTGCCAACTCCTATAATGCTACTACGCTAGCATTGTTTGACAACACTATTATTCATTTATGATTAACATTTTACTTGATTTTTTGTCATTGTCATGGAGAAATGTATCTCAACATGATATACATATCATGTATCTCAAAGGGTATATTTGTCATTTAAGCGAGTAAAATGGGGTTAAAATTTTATAATTATCTAGAATATCATTGTATCCAAACAAAATCAGAACAACATCAATGGAGGAACGAAGAGCTTCAAAGCCTTAAATGGTGAAATGGAACTCGACAATCGGCTTCAATGGAGGAAATTAACACTATACCCTTTGGGTTAACCATGCCTTTAATTTCTCTATTTTTCTTAAGGTTTTCGTTTAATTTGGGCGGCGAAGCCACCGGAATTATGAGGGTGAACGTTGGTGGTTTACAAGATGAACCAATATTATTGGGAAGGAGAAAGAAAGAGATGAAAATGGAGGGGAATAACAATGGAGTAGATTATTTGTTGAAGAAGATGATCAAACCCAAAAAAATAGTACATTAAAAATTATAAAATATTCATAAAGTTCTTATATTTACCTATTTGCCATTTTGAGATACAAGTCTTGTATCTCATATACCTATTTGCCATTTTGAGATACAAGTCTTGTATCTCATATCGAGATACTGGGCTTCCTCATTGTCATGTTACAGTGATGATAATGACAAAAATCAACATGACGGTAACATAACTTATCAAGCAACATGCTTCATGGAGAAATTCCTAAGGAAAACAGTCATTGAGACGGACTTTTTTTTAAGTCTTTCACCTTAAATTTTAACTTATTAGTAAAGTCATTCACTAATTAAATTGGTCTCAGTAACCTTATAATGTGTGATTATAAGCTATAAACAAGGCGACCCACTTTTATTATCATAATAGCAGACAAACACTATGGTCTAAAAAAAATTAATACAAATACTAAATGCAGATTGATGATAAAATTCCATAATACAAAGTACATCATATTCAAAAAGACTACTTGAAACCTCTACCTACTAGTTCATGAGCCGCTTGATCCTTACAACAACTTGACCATACAAGAAATCAGTGACATATTCCACACGTCGGAAGAGAGCGTGCCTCCATGTCCTGCTGTACAACAAACTTCCTACGACTCCCCAAAATCCAATTGCAAAGCCGAGCATTACAACGATGTAGAACATCACCTTTTCAAGGGTGCTTTCTACCTCTTCCTCTTCTTCATCTGGATGTTGTTTGACATGTTTGCCTCCGCATTTTGGCAACGGATCTCCACATAATCCTGCATTTTGTCCATAAATGGATGGATCATTGAGAGTTTGGAGCTGGTTTCCCGTAGGAATTTCTCCATGAAGCATGTTGCTCGATAAGTTGAAGCTCGTCAAAAAATTTAAGGCTGATAAGCTAGATGGGATTGTTCCAGAGAGATTATTTTTAGACAAGTCAAGTGATTCAAGTGATCCCATTTCACCAATGTTGAGAGGAATAATTCCTGTAAAATGATTGTTGGATAAGTTCAAACCAACGAGTTTAGATAGATTTGTAAGCTCCTCGGGTATTGACCCACTAAGCCATTGCTTGAGAGATCTAGGTTCACTACAAGCTTCAACGTCGTGGTGTATTGTCGTTCTTCCCCTTTCAAGACCACCATTGCATTTTCTCCTTTGAAACTCTCTGGTGGCTCTGCTGGTGTTGTTGCTGGTCCTAGAGCCATTTCGTAAGTAGAAGGTGCTTTGAGTTGCAGTGACTTCTTCATACTCTTAAAATGGCCAAAACAACTAGGGATGCTTCCTGTCAAATTGTTCATTGCAAGGTCAAGAAATTGCAAGCGAGGGAGTGAACACAATTGTGATGGAATAACACCTTCAAGTTGATTCGCTCGCATGATGACAATTTCCAAAAAAGGATGACTATCTGCATCCCAATGTGGAACCTCCCCAGATAGTTTGTTTTCACCTATATCCAAAATCACCAACCCCAAAAGTTCATTTAGTGTTGGAGGTAGAGTGCCTTCTAATGAGTTGTTGTTCAGTTTAAGATATGCCATTTCCGGAAGTAGCCCAATAGTCATGGGGATACTTCCAGAGAGTTTGTTAGAGGACAGGTCAATAACACTCAAGCCTTCTGAGGTGCCCCAACAATCAGGGATTGTACCAGAAAGTTGGTTCCGTTGAAGATGTAGGAGTTGTAAATTCTCTAAATGGCACAATGGAGCTTTGACTACTCCAATCTTAGAGGATGAATCATTAAACATAGGCCCTGAAAGAAAGTTATATGAGAGGTCTATGTATCTTAGTTGTGAAGATGGAAAAAAATGTGGGATCGGTCCCATAATGTGATTATTGGAGAGATTTATCTCTCGCAAATTAACATTTGGAATCCAATCAATTATTTCTACAAATAGCCTATTATTGGAAAGGTCTAACACCCTGAGCTCATTTTGCAAGGACGAAAAGGACCCTAGAGAAGTGGGAATGAATCCATCTAAAAAATTATTGCTTAAATCTAATATTTGTAAGGATGACAATGACCCTAGAGAAGTAGGAATGGATCCCTCTAAAAAATTATTGCTTAAATCTAAGGATTCCAAGGATGATAATCCTCCAAGAGAGGTAGGAATGGTTCCCCGTAAATTACAACTATTTAGATTTAACTCAATCAGTGATGACATGTTTCCAATAGCTGGAGGAATTAGACCATAAAATGTATTACCATTTGAAAGTTCAATGAACTTCAAATTTCTCAACTCTCCTAACCATTTTGGTAAGGTATTTGTGATATTATTGAAGGTCAAATCCAAATGCTCAAGATCATATTCAACGCAATTAGCGAAATTATCATGATTAAGGCCTAAGAAATTACCTCCTACGATAGAACTTCGCAAGTTGAGTGTTTTAAGATGGCATAGATTCCCCAAGATGCCCATGATTGTCCCTCCCTCAACATGACTAAATCTATTCCCGCTAAGGTCAAGATATTCAAGGTCTTTCATGTTACCAAGCCAAAGTGGGATGGAGCCATTCAACTGGCTATAGGAGAGGTCAAGGAATTTAAGGGAGGTCATATTGGACAAAATATGAGGGATTGAGCCTTCCAGGTTGTTCCCTGAAACATCAAGATGTTGTATTCTAGATGCCATAGTTGAATTGGAGAAAATACTTGACAAAAGTTGATTATCAATTCCCATCAACGATAGCCGCAAGTATAACAGAGGAAGGTGGCCAAGTACTTGCGGTATTGTATTTAGAGCTTTCGTGGTGATATTGGTATCGCACATGCCCAAACACCGCAAATTCACAAGAGAAGATAACCAGTGGAGATTGGTCGAGTAAGAATTAAAATTATCAGAAAGATCTAGAGCTCGTAATCTAGTGAGGTTGCCAAGCTGTGGAGGGCCACCACCGCCAAACCCTCCGCTAGAGAGGTTGAGATACCTCAAATGTTTCATTGACCCTATCCACTGTGGGATATTACTAACATCGAAATCATTCCCGCTCAAATCTAAGTACCTCAGTTGCCTCAGTTCAAGCAAGCTAGGATTCAACTCAGAGAAACCTAGACTACAAGTGGAACTACGGTAAACATAATAGGAATATAATAGATACTCTGGTGTATCATACGCACTTTCATCGTCACAACGTAGATCAAGACGAAGCACGCGACGGGTAGCATTGTGGCAGGTGACACCATGCCAGCTACAACAATCATCCCCCTTCCATGAAAAGAGAACGTTGTCCTCGTCATACAAGACACTCGCCTTGAACGTCAAGAGAGCCTCTCGTTCCGGCTTAAGGCAGCCTTATGGTGAAGCCAGTTTGCCCCATCTGTGTATTGATTAGTGGCAAAAGGATTATCAAAACTATAATCATTTCTAGACCAACTTCACCCATTGTAATTTTACTCAATTTAAGGTAAAACAAAGGAGGCCAGGAGTTGTGTTTACTTGTGTTTATGGTATATGAAAAGCTGCCTTAAGAGACTGCTATATGTAATAAGTGCATTAGACCTCTATTATTTCCACCCCAAAAATCACGCAAAGACTATCTTAAATTAGTACGCTTCATATGTGACATGTTATAGCTAGTAAGATATTACGAGAATATGAGGAGCTAGTTAAAAGACAAAACAACAAGGAGGGAATGTTCATATTATCTTTCTTAATTGTTGTAAATGATACGCACAACTTTGTCCGTAAATGAAGTCTTCCATACATCTTCATTGATAGAGCACAGACAAATTAAACATATGGAGCCATTGAATTTATACATAACATAAAGACTTTTACTTTTGTGACCAAGTCAAGAAATTCATGAATACTAGAATCATGTACTGTATTTGTATCATCATCTGTAATTTAGATTAGTTATCAGTATACAAATTAAGCTCATGTAAATAACTATATTGGGTTACAAGAAGCCAAGTGTTCCAAGTTTTCAATCCTCTAATTTATTAAGCTTATTTAGTTTGTATACAAATTAAGCTCATGTAAATAACTATATTAGTTTGTAGCAACACTAATTGAAGAAGTAATTATATTTTCACCAAAAAAAAAAAAAAAGTTATTATATTAAATTAAGTTCAACTAAAATTATTTAAGTCATGTACCTTCAAACTCCTTTAGTGGCTCCGTTTGTAATGATTTGCATGTGTTCTTTTTGGATATCCCAAAAATTAAATCATGGCAGTACACAACGTGATTGACAAGTCAATAAAAACTAAAAAGTGAAGTCTTTGAGCAAGTCGTTGGTATCAGTCTTCGTCGCTACTACTCCAAAGGTAAACCTTACAAACCTTATCCCTTCATTCCTATAGTCATAATCATCAATAATTTATTTTTTTTGTTTGTTTGAGGAAAAAAGATGAAAGGTATTTCGTTCTCATGTATTGCTTTTTTTTTTTTTTTTAATTTTTTTTTTATTATTATTAGTGCAAATAATAATTTTTTAAATCAGTTGTATGGTTAGAAACTTCTCTACTAATATTGATATCGTTAATATTATCTAGTAAATTTTCATCAAGGGGCACAGGAAAGCATGATTTATAATTCATTGGAACATATTTTGGATTTTTTATTTTTAAAGCATTAAATCTAACCTAAGAAAGCAATAAAAAAAAACTAACCTAAGCACACCAAAAAAATATAAAAGAAAGAGAGAGAGTACCTATATATACAAGAAATCCCCCCCCCCCAAGCTAAATCATACAATGTCCTCATTAGCTTAAAAGAAAGCTAGTAATCCAAGTGACTACCCCTCATCATCAAACTCGTATCCACCACCATTCCAAACATTGCAATGCATCACCTTGGTACAATTTTGGGCAAAAAAAAAAAAAAGTGTTAGTAAGAAAAGGGGCAAAAACGAGTCAGGTTCACTATTTTGCTCATAACTTTTTTTATACAAATGATAATGCAGTGATTCTAACTACATTGGAAAGTAGACTTGAAGAGCTTTCCAACGATAGGTCACACACAAAATTTCGTTAAGAAACGCAAAATTTATAGCGTTTTGAAGTTAGCCAGCTTTGTAGACGCGCTCTCGCGCCCGACCGGGGGAGCTTAGCCCGACCGGGCCCGCCCCTAGAGTTCGTTCAGGTGGTTCTTCGCTACTTGCTGTTCCATACTTCTTCTTATACTCGATTTTCTTTGTTTTTCCACAAGATAGGGCATTTATCATCCGATTGGGTGGGACTTTAACTACGCGCTCAATTTCTGCAATTTGTTTCTCTTTCTCCACTTGTTCATCTTCTAACCCGAACCCTTCACAATTTAAAACTCTCTTTATAGCATCGACTTCATCTCTCCATGTATTAATTTTTCCTGCGGAAGATGCAACACAAAATACCGGCTCCAAGGGATCTCTAACAAGAGCTTAGGGCTTATTAGAAAAATTATTTACATCGACCACACCAATACTAAAGCACTTTTCCTCTAACATGGGACTTTTAGGGACATTATTCAGATTAAAAGTAATATTATCATCCCCTATCGATAGTGTAAGTTTACCACTTTTCACATCTATTATTGCCCCTGCAGTATGAAGGAATGGTCTACCCAAAATAATCGGAATTCGCAAATCTTCCTCCATATCAAGAACAACAAAATCAACAGACACTACAAGAAATAGGCCTTTTTTCGACGCACTGTTTTCGACGGACACGAAATTCCGACGAAATATTCCGTCGGAAAATTAAACTTCCGACGGAATATTCCGTCAGAATATAATTATATAAAAATAAAAACCAACCCTCCTCATCTCTCTGATCTTTTCTCTTTCTCTTTCTCCTCTCCTCTTTCCTCTTCTCTTCCCCCTTCTCTCTCATCCCTCCTTCTCTCTCATCCTCCCTCTCTTCTCCTTCTCCTTCTCCTTCCTTCATTTCTCTCTCCTCCGCCCTCTATTTCTCTCTCTTCTCCTTCTGCTTCCTTCATTTCTCTTCTCCTTCTCAGTTCTCCTATCACCGCCACTGCGCAACCAACACCACCGCCGCCACTGCGCAACCAACACCACCGCCGCCGCTGCGCAACCAACACCACCACCACCGCCTTCTCCTTCCTTCATTTCTCTTCACGCCTCGCAACAATTCACGCATGAAACAACAAAGACCAAAATAAGGTTTTTCATGTCAAATTCGACCATGAAAACCCTAGATCTAGAGTTTTCATGGTCGAATTTGACTTTTAAAACCCAAATTCAAGCCAATTTTGGGGTTTTGATGGAATTCAAGGTAAGTTCTCTTTTCTCTTTCTCTTATTTTGTTTCAGGTTTTGCTTGAAACATCAAAGAACAAGCCCTTTTTTCTGGGTTTTGATTTGAAATTCTTGGTGTTGATTTGGAATTTTGGGTTTTTGTACGGTGAGGTTTGGAATTTGGAACAAGCCCTCTTTTTGTACGGTGTTGATCTAGAGTTTATTTTTGTTTAATTTTTATAGATTGATTTCGTTGTTTTTTGCTTGGTTTTTTTTGGGTTTTTATGTGATTTTTGTTTGGTTTTTTTTTCGAATTCCTTAGCTTTTTTTTTTGTGGTTTTTGACGGTTGGTGGTGATGGGTGTTTCACGGTGGTACTGTTTTCTAGTAGTGTTGGTGGGGTTTTGGTTAGGGTTTTGTCAGGGTTGGGTTAGGTGGAATGGTTTATGGTTCAGTGGTGGTAGGTGGCGCTGGGTGGTCTGGGCTTAGGGTTAGGGTTAGTTAGGGGGTGGTGGAGTGGGGGTAGTCTGATGTGGGGGGTAGTGGCGGTGGTGGTCTGATGTTGGGGTTAGGGTTAGTTAGGGGTTGGTGGTGGTCATACGCCATGCTGGTGGTGGCGGGCGTTTTTTTTTTTAATTTCATTAAATCAGCTTCCGACGGAAATTTCCGGCGGATTTGAATTCCGTCGTAATATTCTAGTGCCGGAATTCCTCTTCCGACGAACAATTCCGGCAGAATTTCCACCGAAAAGTGCTTCCGACAGAATTTCCGTCGAAAAAGGTCGTTTTTCCTACAAATGGGATTCCGACAACCGATTCCAACGGAAATTCCGTCGGAAACCCGTTTTTCGACGGAATTCAGGTTGATTCCGACAGAATTTTTCCGTCGAAATTGGCCGGTTTTCTAGTAGTGAGGTATATAAAATTTACCTATTCTAACAGGAACATCCTCTAAAAACACCTAAAGGGTATTTAACAGAACGGTCAGCCATTTGCAGAGTAATAAAGTACATCCGTACATAACGTGCTTGACAAGTCAGCAAAAAAGGAAGGCCTAGATGAAGTCAGTTGGTCTTAGTCTCAGTTGCTACTACTCTAGTGTTAAGTAGTACTATGTACTCCGTAGTAACAAGCGGGACATATTAGGCTAATTGAACGACAACACGTTTACGTTCACTACGGGGTATCTGGTTAAAACTTCCACAGCTATTATTAGGGTGTGTTTATTCCTAGACTCAACCTCTTTTTTCATACAATCATACTCTATTATATCAATTTTCCATTAACTTTTACTTACTTTTATACGAAGTATTGTTCTAACTAACAAAACTTTCTCCACTTGTAGACTCTATCCCCAAACCCACTCCAAACCTACTTCATTGCATACTTCCACCATTTATTTTTAGAGGCACTGTTTTGCAATTTACACAATTCACACCCTTTATTTTGACTAAATTTTATGATTTATACTAATAACTAATAAAAAAAACACATAATCATGTACAATTTTGTTAAATTTGTCTCAATTTATTATAAAGATGGAGAAGTAAATTGAATATATAGAGTCATATAATATCTTCCCTTACTTAAATTCACATAATTAAGGACAAATTTGGTTGGAGAATACTCCAGTCTTAAAAATTTACCAAAAAGCCATAATACTAGTAGGGACTACTGCATTTAGCAACACTTTTGTACTTCTGATTTTTATTTGGGCTTTTAGAAAAGCCTTATGGACCTATGATTCTAGCCCTTTTAGGTCATCGTTTATTCGTTTCATATGTTTCCGTAATCATACCGCAATTGACCAGAATCCAAAATTATCCAATTCGAAATAAAATCAATGGTTTTGAGTCTTTTACTCTTTTAACATGTCTAAAGTTATACATTTAGACACAATTAAAATAAATTTAGAAATTTAGAAAAGTAAAATAAAATTTTATATTATTGAGCAAAACTTAGCCAAACCTTAATAAGTTTCCTTAAATCATTGTACTTAATCATTGTAAACCCCACCCCTAATTCATAAATCTTACTGTAACTATACATTTAAACAAGGCAGGGCATCACTTCAACTGACAATACATACCTACTATGTTAGGCAGAAAAAATTGCACATTTGTTCTAATGAATTAGATATCATGTGATATTATCCAACTTATTCAGCCCCACAATTAATTCCATTATTGAATTACATGCATTAATACAACTAAATGCCAAAATTTGATAGTGGCCTTTGTTCTTATCGTCGTCCTCCTCAACTTAATCTATCTTTTTCATATTTTACACACTAATTGACAAATTCATCTATCTTCTTTTCATTGCACCAATGCTCTTTATTGTGCCACGTCCATTTACATTACTCGTACACAACTAGTCTTACTCTTACGTGACCAAACTTTTACCACTATATGCTTCATTTTCATATCAATCATCTACCATTACCACCGCGAAAACTTTTTTCGCAATCCTTTTTAATGGCTAGTACGACTTCCTCAAGGGAAGTTCTCGGTTGGTTAGCTCTTATATTGGTTTTACGTGTGGTTTTGAGTAGCGAAGATGGTACTAAGTTGCAACATAAAATTACCATGACTAAATCTCTATCTTTTCCAGAGTTTAGTACATCTATTAACCCGAGGATTGAACATGACGTTAAGCTCCTAGGAAGTGCTAAGTTCTCGAGTGACAAGAGAAGCATTCAAATTCCGGATATCTCAGAAACAGATGATCTTAGACATCAAGCTGGTCGCGCAATTTACTCTTCACCCATCCGGGTGTTTGATCCTAGTACCCAAACACCAGCTTCGTTTGACACTACATTCACCTTTCAGTTCAACAATCATACTTCGCCCTCATTCAATGATACTCATACTTCAGGAGAATCTCAATTATCTCATGGAGGTAAGAAGAGTTAATTTTCGGTTTTGTCTTGGTTTTAGAGAATTGAAGGGCAAAGTTCATATCAGTTATATGGAATTATGGAAGCTCCTTTAACTTTTCAATGATTTTGTCATTTTAGGCTGTTTTTGGCATATCTAAGACTAATGTTTGGCTTATAAAATGTAAGTTTTTAAGGATTAATTACATTTTTTGATAATGTCTTTGGTATTGTGTTTTGAGATAGCTTATAAAATAAGTGAATTATTGGACAATCATAAAAGCTGCATACTTATCCGGCCTGATTACTGAAGTCTCATTTTATGTAAATTGGATTAAATGATTTTCTTTCAATCTTTTGGCTTAGTTAGTAGTATCACTAGTACACCCATAAAAATTCTACCCAAATGAAGCTCAGAACCTTAAAAATATAACCAGCTATTTCCAAGTATTCTAAACACATTTTTGTACAACAATTATCCTTTCACAAATTAGTTTTATACCAGAGCAATTTTCAGCTAATTGAATCATAGGGTTCTAAATCAATACTTCAAATAAGCCAAATTTTCCCAATTTCACTAATCAGTAATATTATTTGTGCTCTTTAAAACTTAAGATTATAGATGATAGATAAAATGCAGTGTTTTGTTCTACTGACAACTAACAACAATTCAAAAAATATTATATGCAGGAAGTGGACTGACCTTTCTAATTGCGCCGGATGAGTTCACAGTAGGCCGACCCGGTCCTTGGCTAGGAATGATAAATGATGCCTGCAACGACGACTACAGGTTCGTGGCTGTGGAGTTTGACACCCGCCAGAACTTGGAATTTGGTGACCCGAATGATAACCACATTGGCATCAACTTAGGCAGCATTGTTTCAAAATCCACCGTTAATGCTTCAGATTACGGCCTATCCTTTGAAGAAGGCTCAACCCATTTGGCTCAAATAACCTACAATGGCTATACAAAGAGGATGGATATTCGAGTCAGATCACACCCAAATATGCCCTTAACATCAGTGTTTTCGGATGTCATTGATCTTAGTCCATTTCTGAATGAGTATATGTTTGTAGGGTTCTCTGCTTCAACAGGAAACAGAACACAAATACACAACATTATGTCCTGGAACTTTACCTACAAAACCCCTGCATTACTCCGGTACCCAACAAGCGAGACGTGTGAGAATAAGATTTTAGTGGGTAAGAATCGAGTTGGTGAGGTTCGTGCAGTACCCATCAAAGAGAAAAGGCCATCTACCACTTTTTTGATCTTTGTTTGTGTTGTGGTGCTCTGTTTTGTGATTCTCATCAACCTTTATTGCAACGGCAGGAGACCGAAATCTGGTAGTACTAGTGGTTCAGCATTTTTAGTCTTATCGGAAATGAAGCCCCGGCCAACGCCACCAAACAAGCCGAGGAGGTTCACAGGGGCAGAGCTGTCATTAGCTACTAGGGGGTTTACTGATTGGGAGGTTTTAGGGAGTGATTCAAGTGGTGTATTGTATAGGGGTACTTTGCCAAA